TAGAAGTCAATGGCGGTATTTTTGAACATTTATTGAAAGAACGCTATGATTAAGAGTATTTTTATATGTAAATTTGTTTATTTGTTAATATGCTATAACTTGAAAACAAATAAAAATTGGATAAGAACATATGAGTTTTTTTACATCATTTTCACGTGTATAATATACTCCTAGAGTTTGGTGCGCTCCTCCCGACTCACCCTGTATATTAAATCTTATTTTTTTTAAAGGTTACAACAATTGTCTTTTACTTAAATTACGTATAAGTTTTAATTAATTTTCTTTTGATAAAGCTAGAGTTTATAATTTTCGCTAGCTTTCTAAAAATAAGAAAAGAGAACAATTGGCGCCCCTCTCTCCCAAAAAACTATTATCCCCAAAAGTGTCTATTTGAAAAGCCGAATTCACGACGGAGAAAAATATATGGTCAATGTGCTCATTTCTTTTTTATTAGCTTAAAGGTATGTAATGTTTGGTGTTAAATTTTTATGAGCTAGTCAAAATTTCTTAAAAGTGTTTTGAAAGTAACATTATATCGCAAAGTAATGTAGAGCTATTACAAATTTGCGCACCAACATGTCATACTTATTAGAAGTCTATTAAAATTATAAGAAGACAACCAAATCTATAAGGCGTAACTACGTGCAGGGTGTTTGGTTTAAAAAATCTGTATGGTTCTCCCCTCATTTATAGACTACCATGTATATTTACGAATAATTGTAAAATATGGTCTTACAACTTTTATATTAAACATTTCTTTATATTTTCAATAATAAAATATCTATCGATCAATTACCCACTGATGGGGCATCCTGTATAGGTATATTAAAACAGTGTATAAAATGAACCAATTCTTTCATTACAGCTTGGTCCTTATAAGTTGAAAAATATTCTAGTGATTAATACAGTATTACCATGTCACTCTAAAACTGAAATAAAATACAGGGTGTTCCATATAAAAACGTGTTTTTACTTTCCAAGCAAAAGCGTAACACCCTGTATATCCAAAAAGGTTTTTAAATTATATTTTTTTCAAATTCACATAACTTTTATTCAAAACATGTGTCTATAATACAAATTGAAATATCAAGCAACTATGCACTAATGGGACAACCTCTATAGAACTACGACGATAGTTTACGTCTTTTTTCATTCTTTCAGACTTCCCTTTTTAAACAACTCTTAATTGTTTTTAACTCCCCGCCTTAAATGGTCCAGCCTTCCCTACAAGATTTTGACATGCTGGCTGCAGGTTCATTGGCTAATTGTACCACCATTTGGATACCCTACTTCTTTCGATTTATTAATTCCTCATTTATTCCACTCCCTATATAGGCTTCCGAGAACATAGTCTCGGGTCAACCATTCATGAAGTGCTTGACTATCTTGATCGATAAATGAATGTATAGGTACACCGTCAGCCAGCGGCCCGGTAAAATATACTTCTTTGACAGTATTTGACATTCTATAGACATATTCTTTTCTCTTTTTGTGTTAACTTCTGTCTGTATTTATAATCATCCTGTATATATAATAGCTATTCCCCGGAATAAATTTTCATTGTGTATGGCCTATGACGTTAATAAACGTCCAAACTTCTTAATGTTCGTATACCGATGGACCAGAGCGTGTAGTTGGCATTAAAGCTTGGGCAGCGAAAGCGTTAAAACATGCGAGACATTTATAAATAAATACAACAGTATATTATGTGCTTTATTTGGCAATAAACAAATTTATTTTTATTATTTTCACAAAATTATGTTAAATTCCCATAAGAAGCCATGTATTTTGAACAGCGGTACTAGCACCAGCGCCCTTGCGGTGAATTAAAAAAAGTCAATTAGCGTTTGTTTTTTGGGATCGCATTTCGAGTATGCCGATTCGCCTCCTTATCTCTAGTCTTTTTGTTTCATCCATTTAAGATTTAAACAATAAATAAAGCGAAGACTTTATTTACCACATTATTTTGAATATTTGTACGTTACGTCATCTCCTCTCCCTACTAACTCGATGATTTTTAGTAATTGTAAAATGGTCCCCAAATTCGTTGTCCCTATATATTTCAGAAGGATAATTTCTAATGCGAAAATGGCGAATCATTTCTATAATTTCTAGAATTCATAGGAAGAATCCGAGGAGCTTAAATAATATATTTTAAGTTTTTTTATTCTTTTCCTAATATTTAGGAAACAATAAATATTATTATATTTATAAGAAATGTACAATTATTATAATCTGCTAACTGGCATATGTCAGATACTTATCGAATACATATATCTCACTTAAATGGCAAGATATATATTCGATAACTAATAGAACGTTTTAGAAACCAAATTTCTCTAGTTATCCCTTTGTTAAGGAGGTCCTTTCGCCACCCCTTTCGCCACCAATGTTAAATAAAAAATATTAGATTATGACTAAAATTTATTTTTTTTTCTAATAGTTGAAGTCCTTATTTATCTAACGTTGAACTTTTAACTGTACCTTACCGTGCAAATTTTTGAGATTTTTTTTTAAATGTGAGTATTTGTACAGTGTCTTACGAGAAAATAAGACCTCAACAACAATTCTCGAATTATATTATTATTTATTGATTAGATGGAGTAGAAAAAAACTAAAAATAGGGTTTTTGAAATATTTAGATTTTATTTTTTACAATAAAATATATAGGTTACCTACCTTGGAATTTATTGAGAAATTAATATTAAAAAAAAATTTGAAGTAACCTAGTTGAAAATTTTTTGTGATTTTTTAATATTAATTTTTCAATAAATTCCACGGTAACCTATATATTTTTCTACTCCATCTAATCAATAAATAATAGTAAATTAATTATAATTCGAAAATTGTTGTTGAAGTCTTACTTTCTCGTAAGACACTGTACAAACACAAACACTAAAAAAAAAAATCTCAAAAATTTGCACGGTAAGGTATGGTTAAAAGTTCACTATAAGATAAATAAGGACTTCTACTATTAGAAAAATATTAATTTTAGTCATAATCTAATATTTTTTATTTAACATTGGTGGCGAAAGGACCTCCTTAAGTCTCTTGAACACAAAAACTGGCCATTAAACTTCTATGATCAGAAGCGATAACTTGATATGACGAGTTTTGGTAACTTTATAGGAGAGCATACATATCAAGTTATTGCTTCGACTTTAATGTAAACTTATCAGGTATGGGAACGCCTTGTATCTCTGTTATTTTTGGTCTTATCAAGATATAACATCTTGTAAATCTCACGGAAAGGACACAGTGATTATGATCATCACTTTTTACCACAGGTTTATAAAAGTCTATCAATTTTCTGAAAATAGAACCGGTCTATTATAAAGCTCGACTTTCTAACAACCATAATAAAATGTAAATTTTCAATATTTCGTAGATCCATCTTTTTGAGATTCTCTTCCCTTCATCCTAAAAAACAACCAATTTGCATACAACTCATATCGCGACTGGATATATTTCAACAGTCCATATTATTGGATTAGTTTGGTTGACGTTGCGTTATTGAACATGTTGAACTTTCTAAGATTATTTAAAAAAATGTCGAATATTTTGATATTGGTTGATGCTTTTTCTAAATTATTAAGTTATATCCTACTAGAAGTAAAAAATATTCTATCGTGAAGGAACAGTTGATGTTAATTTGTGCAACAAGAGTCGATATGAATGCCATATTTATTTATTTATTTATTTATTTATTAAGCTATTGCATAGATTTTATCGCGGGCTTTGAACGCGGCGACAGACTCAAGAAAGAAAAATCGAAAAATCGAAAAATCGAAAAATCGAAAAATCGAAAAATCAAAAAAATCGAAAAATCGAAAAATCGAAAAATCGAAAAATCGAAAAATCGAAAAATCGAAAAATCGAAAAATCGAAAAATCGAAAAATCGAAAAATCGAAAAATCGAAAAATCGAAAAATCGAAAAATCGAAAAATCGAAAAATCGAAAAATCGAAAAATCGAAAAATCGAAAAATCGAAAAATCGAAAAATCGAAAAATCGAAAAATCGAAAAGCGAAAAATCGAAAAATCGAAAAATCGAAAAATCGAAAAATCGAAAAATCGAAAAATCGAAAAATCGAAAAATCGAAAAATCGAAAAATCGAAAAATCGAAAAATCGAAAAATCGAAAAATCGAAAAATCGAAAAATCGAAAAATCGAAAAATCGAAAAATCGAAAAATCGAAAAATCGAAAAATCGAAAAATCGAAAAATCGAAAAATCGAAAAATCGAAAAATCGAAAAATCGAAAAATCGAAAAATCGAAAAATCGAAAAATCGAAAAATCGAAAAGTCGAAAAATCGAAAAATCGAATAACTGAATAACCCATGTATTGTAAGATAATAAAAATATTTTAAACAATATTTAACTTCTCATTTATTCAATAAAAGAAAAAAATTTGTTTTCTTATCGGACACCACGCTCAAAAAGTATAACTTGAATTAATATCAAAGAAAATACTTGAATTAATATCAAAGAAAATACTTGAATTAATATCAAAGAAAACAAAATACTGCATAAATAAAATAAATAATTATAATTGCATACATTGATAAAAAATGCTATGCAATAGCTTTACCGCGGTAGTCCTCAAGAGCCTCACGTATTTTTTTAGTATTACTCCACCCTAACAGCGTGCGCCTTATACAGGGTGGGAAAATATTGCACAAAGAAGAAGTTTGAGCACGAGGCCGCCATAGAGGGGACAACTTGGATAAAACTTACGAAAAACTCTAAAATCAAAATTTAGGTAACTGACAAAAATAACCACGGTAAACCTATTGCAATAAATCCTTCTTTCCAAGTCTTATTAGCCTTGGATTGTCTGTGTGATAAAACAAAAGATAAAGCTTGTCAAAAATAGCATCTTAAATGCGTATATTGCTGTAATTTTTTGAGTGCAATTATCATTGAAAAATTCGGTCTACTCTTTGTTCTATAATAATCCAATTAACTTTGATAATAATTAAGCAAAAAAAAAATCGACATGGTAAGTAGAATAATATTGTATAAAAAAAATTATTGCTGTATTTTACTCTTATTCCAAGAAGGCATTTTTATGAGTTCTGCAAAAATTAACAAATTTATTCAGACCTAGGATTTCTTTTAGACAAAAGTAGCTAATTTTGCCGTATTTAGTGTAGATTTTGGCATAGTTTCTTTTCGTGAACATTTCTACTTATTGTGGTATTGCGATTAACTGCTACTTTTTGCTTATAATGCCGTAATTTAGGCAGGCGCAAGAGAGTGATATTTTTGTAACCCTATTACTAGAACTGGCAGTCGGGCAACTTTTTATAATTTTTTTTAATTAATTGTTTACCTCATGCGTGATCCAAGTTATTAAATTTATTCGTCTATAATATGCAGCTAATAAAAAACCCTAATTAAATCGGAATTTTAGATTTTTCAGACTTTCTTGATAAGGGTTTTCTTTCCGCACTGTTATAAAAAACTGTTTCTGCAATGAAATTATTTTTTTCTAAAGTAAATAAATTTGCTCTCAATATTTGTATTGTTTTAGAATATTTGCACTTAGAAATTAGAGATATGTGGTAAAAGATTGAAGAATGTCCTTCAAAAAAACAAAACCAACAATGTACATATCTTAAAGAATACATAAGAAATTTAACAAATTGCCCAAGTTTCAAATTATTTCAAACCAAATTTCAAAATTTATTTTTAATTTTAAAATAAAATGGCAATAAGCTTGCAGAGTTACGTCAGTTTTTGCTGAAACCAGTAAAATGTGGCTAGATACCAAAGTGGTCTTTACCAACTATACACACGCTTTAGATCAATCAAAAATTGGCCGCTCGTTGATTGATTTTTCATTTAGTTGTGAAAGTTGTAAGCGTCAGAAAACTGCTGATTTGCACAGGGATAATTCGGTCGAGGTTACCTGTTATGTGGTTCAAATAGAGCTCAGAAAATCCGGTAATTTGCAAGCCTCAAAACTATTACAAAAAATTTATAAGAATCCTGCGAGAGCTACTGAATATATAATTGTTTTAAATAAAGTTATGACCTCAGATGTTAAGACACAATTGCCACCAGAGGAGGCACTTTCAGTTTTAGTGGAAGTGAACTTATCTGGTAATCAATCCCTACTATATTATAAATACGAAAGTAAGTTTGTTTGTTACGCTTCCACGCAAAAACTACTTAACCGATCATCATGAAATTTTGTTAACATATTTTTGGAGGTATTAGAAGTAACATAGGATACTTAAAAAAAATATATATTTTTTACGAAAGATCAGAAAATTGTTTGCCAAGAAATTTAAAAATCTAGCTACTTCAACGCCATCTAGCATTCCAGTAATGAAGTTTAAACCCTGAGTACTGTAATATCGTCGCATTGTATTACCGACGGTCACGGCGATATCCAATCCAATTGAGTATAGTTTGAGCTGTTTGAAATTTTTCTATATTTATTGTTATTTTCTTCTGTCATTATTCTATGAAGTATAAAACTAGTAGGCATTCCAACGACCTGGCCAAATGGCTACCAGTGGGTAATGACAGTTTAGATATGGCAACCCTGTTGTCATGTTGTCATTAACAGGGTCAATGATACATATATAGTTATATGGATTGCTCAAAGCTGGTTGTTTACGAGCGGCCATATTGCCTGGCAAATATTTATTAATTTAAATCGGTTTAGCAAAAATGTGTTTAAAAACCAATTTTTAGTCTTTAGATATTTAAAAAAAATAATTGCTTACATTTTTACTTCAAGGCATAAGCTTATGTTTATTTTGAAAAATATGGATGATCAATCTATGTAACTATCTATTTCATTGACCTTGTCAAATCACCAGGCCTACAGGGTTGCCATCATTTTGCCACATCATAACCCGTCAAAACCAACTGGTAGCCATTCAGTTTGGAATGCCCAATGTTAGGTGTCACATTTATGGTTACATTTCACTTCATTATTTTAGATCTCACTCACTGATTTTAATTCTTACTCTGTTATTCTTCAAAAATGCCTCGGAAGCGGAAATCTGATCTATCGAAAAATTCGTCCCGGGCCCGTGCAGCAAAAGTCGCACGAAATCACGAATCTTCGGTTGAGGCAGAGCTGAGAAGACAACAGCAAGCACAGCGACAAAGTGTTTTGAGAGCAGCATATTTATTCATTTCTATTGTAATGATCTCTGATACTTATTTAACGGCCTAAATGCAAGCGAAGCCGCGGGTAAGAGCTAGTAGGTGTAATATAATTAGAGAAAAGGACACATAAAGTTGTGCAACAAGTCAAGCTTGAATGTGACCCTAATAATATAAAAAGTTTGTTGAGTATATTTTGCACCTCTCATATGAACTACCAGTAAAATGTTGGCAAGTTAGAAACGCTACAGATAAAGAAATAGTTTTTGAAAAAAAAAAAAAAAAAAAAAAACGAGAATTCAACGGGAATTTAAACAGGAATTAGGATTAATAATTGATCAACCAAAACCGGTATACGGAAGTAGCAATGACGGTAAACGGCAAAACATTTTTTTGAGAATCCGGAAGTCTCCTCTAAAATTCTAAAATAAAATAAAATATAGATGTTTTAAAAAAATTAAGTGTTATTTTGGAAGTAATTATATTAGTTATCCTAACATTAATGCGGATTTATTTAAAATGTATTGCCTGGAAACAGCACAATTACTCAAATAAATATCCTTGGTATTATATGACGCCAACACCTCACTTAATTTTAATTCAGGTGCAGAAATTAGTCGTTTCGTTCTTCTTCCAGTTAACCAGCTCTCAGAAGAGGCTGCAGAAAGTAAAAACTAATATTTTAAAAAATATCGAGAAAGCTTCGCTAGAAAAATAGCTCGAGAGAAAACTAATGAAGATGTTTTCAAGAGACTTCTTCTCTCTTCAGATCCTGTTATTACAGATATTAAAAAAACTCAAAAAGCGAAGCCTTATCCATGTTTCTACCTCCGGATGTTCATGACCAAATTAGTCATGTTTCTGATAGTGATAACTATTTGGATTGTTATTTTGATTAAATATTAGTTTTAAATAATTTTTGTTCGATTGAGTTGTAGACCTAGATTTATTGTCTCTTTTTTCAGTTAATACATTCTCAGACCACCGATATAATATTATAAAAGTCTTTTAATTAAAAAAATAGTATATTAAAGTATAAGTGGATATAACGGTCTTTAAAACACGCGCAATTTTTAGAGCAAGTGTTTTAAACACCAGTTATCCACGAATACTTTACGCTATTTGAAATCCTAAATATTGGTATTATTTCTACAAAAAAATGTAAATAAGAACTAATAACTGAAAATGGTTGAATTTGTGATGTAACATCAGTATACCTCGTTGTCATGAAAATGAGACAAACAAAAATTTATTTTCAATCTGTCACGTAAGATTAATTGTCGCAACAGTTGTTATTGTTTAAAATGAGTTCAAATATTGAGTATTTAAATAATAAAGCAGAATCGCGCTTAATACTACAAAAATCCGAAGCGGTTTATAAAAAAGAATACGATAAATTCAACACGTGGATGGAAGAGCAAATGGTTACACATATAGATGAACGAGTTGTTCTCGCTTATCTCCAAAAAATGTCGGAATAGTATAAAGTATCGACTATGTGGACTATCCATTTAAAATTACAAAGTATGTTGAGGATAAACAAAGGGGTCGATACAAAATCGTTCGTCAAAGTTCATGCATTCATGAACGCAATTAGCAAAAATGAGGTAGTCAAGAAGGCATATGTATTTGAGGAAGACGATTTGCGGAAGTTTTTTACAGGTGCACCGGACATTACGTATTTATTTTGGAAGGTGTTGAATAAATTTTTTGAAAATTTTATCAGAAATATTTTATTTGACATTACAAGGCACTCCTGTCAGATCAATATTTAAAAAGTTTGCATTTAGACATTACGTTTCTCGGGTTGTTGATGTTGCTATGGTAACTTTAAAACACGCGCGTTTTTTAAAGTTCGTTTTAAACACGCCGAGGTTCATTTTAAATAAGTAAAATAGGGTACCAATAAAAAAATATTAATTTAGTATTGTGATAATGTTTGAAGTGTCCTGTAGCAAAATATTCTATTGTGTTTTATTTTTTTTTATCGCCACTCTTGGTTTTAATTTGTCTTCAACAAATAATGTAATTTCATAGAGGGATGATTTTGTTATAAAATGTAGTAATTAATATATCTACTAAAACCTAATAAGCTTTTGTATTACTTGAATTTCTCACAAGGAATAGCCTGTACCTAATTTAAAAGGTGTTAGTTATAATGATACACCCTGTATAGTGTCAATAATATGTCTGTTAATATTATTTTGTTACATTTACACTTTACATGTTCTAGAATACAAAAGTATAAGCTTTAATGCTTTCCAGAATTGTTGGTAAGTTTTGATACTTTTTGCTCCTGTGTGGCGCCGTATGCAAAATCGTCTGAGTGAGATACGGATAACCCACTCGAGTTGTACAGTATATCTTTTCTACGACCCACTAAAGAAAACCTACAAATTTTAAAAATGAATTTAGGTCATTATAATAAAATAACCACTTTAAAAATAATTTACGACGTTTAATAATTTATTAAATAAAATAAAATAAAATAAAATTAAAAAAATAGTTATTTATGCAACAAGTGTGTAAAGTTACTCTTTGTTGACAAATGTGAATGACATGAGTCAAAAAAGAAACTTTACACACGAGTGCAATACAATATTTCTTTTACTACCGTACACATTACCCACTAATATTAGAAATACAAAAGTTACTTTTTTCACGAGTGTGTAAATTATAATTAAAATAAAAAATTGTTGATAATTTTTTGAACACTAAATAGATATAAGCAAAAATAATTTACTAATTTGTCTTAGAAATGGTAATATAAAATAAAATGTTATATTTTGTTACTATTTACAATTTTTGTCATAGTTTAGTTTTTTCACTAGTGCGCAAAGAGTATTACTTTACGCACTAGGGAAAAAAAATCAA